ACGTCATTTTCTCTTCTCTGATGTTTTTAAAACAACCTTCACTATTTATGAGGTCAGAGGTTCAAACAACCTTCACTTTTGACGCCCTTTCTCTAGACTATCGAAGGTATGGATTGTACCGCAAAGGATCGGTTTGCTTGGATACGAAGTCGCTTGAGAAGGTCCTGCAGCTCGCGTTTGAGAAATGTACAGACTGGACCGAGTTTATGTGTAGCAAGAGCGGCATACAGAGGCATATCCCAGTCTACAGTTACGGCGTGACGAGCATGTACAATGAAGCACTGAAGAACTTCAAGGTGGAAATGGCATTAGCTGAAAGAAGCCAAAGGCCTAGAAAGCAAGGACCCGTAGGATACCTAGCACCGAGATGCGCCGCGGCCTTAGAGAGAGATGGCCCAGGAGGAAAAGTAATCACTAAAGTAGCCATGCAATTCGGGCAACTCAATAATGCATTGGAGGGATTGAAGCATTGTCGAATATGGGTAATCGTGTGGCCGATGGACACGCGGAAAGAGGAAGACGCGATCATAGATACCATATTGGCTTGTAAGAAACACCTGGAAGAGGGAGGAGAACTGATATCAGTCTGGCCACCAATAGTGTGTCGCGAGGTGCATATATGGAAAGTCATGGCAGAATTGTGGACGATAATCGATGCTACTCTGAAAGAATTCGCCAGCCCGGACCAATTGTACCTTTTGGCGTCGAATCGTGTGGAAAATGGTAGAGTATGGATAGAGGCGGGATCGCCTGAAAGTTCATTTCAGTTCTATGACACCTGCTGCGGAGTAATGAATGCCAGACACCTATATGAAGCCATCAGGATGCGAGCACCCGGCGCAAAATTGGACCAACCTCCACCGCCGCCGAGGTCGACGGCTCCCCGGAGGGGAGGGATGTTGTAAGATGCGGCCGGTGATCACCAATACGGAATTGGCGGGAAGAAGAGGCGATTTGACTCTCTCAGCAGGGCATAAAAGGGCAAGAGAGAGGGGGGCCGCGAGCAGAAGAGGCTCGCGGGAGTCGAAAACTGGTCAGGAGAGAGCCAGATCTCCTCACGTGAAAACTCACCGAGAATTGATCCAAAGCGACCGTGTAAAGCCCTGCTGGAGGGACAAATCGGGATATTCCCCCCGATTTCGTGGTTTTCTTGTTGTTTTTTTCGTTCGTTGTTGGCCTTGAGGCCGTTGTTACTGATTGTTTTGCATACGGATAAATTTTGTTGTTTTCGATCTGTTCGTGTGTTCCGTTATCAAGGTGGAAACCTTAAATATCACTAGACACTAACCCGCAGTTACAACATTAATTTCGGAACGACCTAATAAATTAAGTCGTCCCGAAAGTTCTTTCGCACCATTTTCAAAAATTCATAACCTCTGATTTTTCCAATCGATTTGACTGCACTTATTTTTGTATGAAAGAGTAGGTCATGCTCTTTATAACGACATTTTAGCTGCTTATTAGTGGTCATCTATTGCATAGATAGGAGCATAGAAGAAAATTGGTCAAAATTTAAATTTTCTGTGTAGGGTCATAAAAAATGGAAACTTGCAACAAAAATCGGAGCAGTCAGTATAATAGGTTCTTTCATCAGCTCTTTCTAACTGTGCAAAGTTTACGCTGATTGAGCGTCTCTATGAAATTTTATGAATTCCCTGAAAAATGCCAAAATAAATCAAATTCGCCCTTTTGTATTGCTTGCTCGAAAATCGTAACTTTCATAGAGACGCTCAATCGGCGCAAACTTTCCACTGTTGGGAAGAGCTGATGAAAGAAGCTACATTACCGACAGCTCCGATTTTTGATGCGAGTTTCCGATCTTTTATGACCCTACACGAAAAATTCAAATTTTGAGTGGTTTTGGTTTTGAACTTCTATCTCCTTCATTTATAGAAAATGAATTCCTCTCTTATACAAAATTTAGATCTTGTGAATTCGTTGAGAATTCAACAAGTTACGAATTTTGAAAATTGTGCGCAAGAACTTTCGGAAAAACCTAATACCCTAATTTCACGCGAATAAGGCGCGGGATGGTCCTAGCTTTCATCGAGCTGCTCAGCCGCCCCAACGTGTTTCAAGAAGCGATCCTAATGCCGCACGATTCGTCAGGCAAAACGCAGCACGGTATGGGGTTCCTTTGGTTGCGAAGTCCTTTGCCGTGTTCGGGCTGGTCGATGAAAGCTAGGACCACCCCGCGCCTTGTACGCGTGAAATTATGGTATATATCAGTGGCGGTCCCAGGATTTCGGACCGGGGAGGGTAACAAAAAATTTCTCCGAATGAAGGCGCGTGGCGTTAGCCACGCTCTCCGAAAAAATTTGGGGGTGCTTCTGAAGATTTTTGCGGGTCCTTAACCCCTAAAATCTGGAAGAAGGGAGCTTGGCGTCAGCCACGCCCTCGAAAAAAATTTTTTTATAAGGCTATTTCGAATTTTTAAAAAATTTTAAAAATTATTTTAATTATGAAATTATTATTAATTTATTTAAGAAATAAACATGTCGTCCGCACATTTTTATAACCCATATAGGTAAGTATCAAAAATTTCGCAACCCATTCTCGGGGGGGGGGGGGGCACGGTCTGCCACTGAGATATACAGGGTGTCCGTAAAGTATGTATACACTGTTTGATCGTTAATATCTCTTTTCCCAAGAAGTCTTTTGCCTTGCTTCAGGTACCATTTTGTAGAGCTAGCTTCAACTTAAATTTGCGATATAGAACAAATCACCCATCTCTCTTCATTACTGTAGGATTACGGTGGAAACTTCAAAGAGGGTTTTGAGCCATAAAAGGCCATACGTTGCCTCAGAAAAAAAACAGCCTGAAAACTTTTATACTAGGCTAATTAGAGTTGCTGATTCTAATTGTGAAGTTCCCAATTCATTATGATGCTTCGTTGATGAAGAGTTATGCCAGGTAAGAGGTAGCGGCCATTTTTTCACTGTTCCTAAAAAGTGCAGTTACACAATTTAGAAAGCTTCGCAATCTTGTGAATAGTTGAGCATTAAACTCAGCTTCCATAAAAACCCGATTACACAAGTTTTCACATTTTTTGAAAAATCTTGAAACGGCAGCTTTTTCCACATTGACACCATATGTTTCAAGTTTCTACCGTAGTCCTACAGTAATGAAGAGGGATGGGTGATTCGTTCTATACTGCAAATCTAAGTTGAAGCCAGCTCTACAAAATGGTACCTGAAGCAAGACGAAAGACCACTTGGGAAAAAAGATATTAGCGATCAAACAGTGTATACATACTTTACGGACACCCTGTATATATTAGGTCGTCCCGAAAGTTCTTGCGCACGATTTTCAAAAATTCATAACTCTTTAAATTCTCAACGGATTTGTACGATGAAAATTTTGTGTAAGAGAGGAACTCATGCTCTTTGCAACTGTGCTTGAACTATTCGTTAATATTTACAAATGAAGGAGATAGAAGCTCAAAACCAAAATCACTCAAAATTTGAATTTTTCGTGTAGGGTCATAAAAAATCGGAAACTTGCGACAAAAATCAGAGCAGTCAGTATTGTAGTCTCCTTCACAAGCTCTTTCCAACAGTGCAAACTTTGCGCCGATTGAGCGTCTCTATGAAAAGTTATGATTTTCGAGCAAGCAATGCAAAAGGGCGAATTTGATTTATTTTGGCATTTTTCAAGGAATTCATAACTTTTCACAGAGACGCTCAATCGGCGCAAACTTTGCAATGTTGGAAAAAGCTTGTGAAGGAGACTACAATACTGACTGCTCTGATTTTTGTTGCAAGTTTCCGATTTTTTATGACCCTACACGAAAAATTCAATTTTGAGTGACTTTGGTTTTGAGCTTCTATCTCCTTCATTTGTAAACATTAACGAACAGTTCAAGCACAGTTGCAAAGAGCATGAGTTCTTCTCTTATACAAAATTTTCACCGTACAAATCCGTTGAGAATTTAAAGAGTTATGAGTTTTTGAAAATCGTGCGCAAGAACTTTCGGGACGACCTAATATATGCGTAGTATGAAGGAACCCAAAGGATGCTTATCCGAAATGGCCTTCTCGAATGTATAGCATCTTGGATAGCATGAAACGCTGACTTTGGTTTTGCGTAAGCGTTCCCGGACAAAGTTGGCTGTTCATTGTAACAAAGAATTGAATGTGCAAGTAGGATGACCGCATAAATAGTGCTTATAGTATATAATAGGTCGTTCTTCGAAGGTAATGTCGTTTTTTCAAGTGAACGCTGCAGTTCGTGGAATCAAGATTTCTAGGAGGTCTTGGTAGCATTCGATGCAGCATTTCGTTCTCTTTCAAAAGGTTATATGAGCATTGCACAATATTCGATAAGCTCCAAAATAATTACCAAAACCTGCGACTCTGGAAAGGTCGAGTTTCACAATTTTCCTAAATTTTTGCAACAATACTCCGGAGGAGTCCAAGTAACAAGTGGATTAAGCAGACCCTATGGGAAACAATGCGATTTTTTCTACTTTCCATGGCTCGTCATGATTTTTGTAGAGATTTTTTAATGGAATCACCGAATTTAGCAGGCTTGTCGCAGACCAAATGCATTAAAACCAACATCAAACTATAATAAACCATTATGGTAGAATTGGAAAACCCTAGAAACGACTAGCTTATTTCTAACATAACAAATCGTTGATTAATACATTATTCACCAACATTTTTTATTCCGCCTCTTATCTTCATTGAAGCATTGCTGTTCCAATTGAGTTTTGTTTAGAATTGATCTTGCTCTTTCCAGATGATTCGGTAAGCAAACTGAAAAAATGAACCCACCCCATTTCGGGTTCCAATTACCTGAAGTGGGTAACCAAGTTGTCAACATTGATCTTCAAGAAAATCTGAACTGTACCTGTGACGACGTATGTTTTGTCGTTGTAGAGTTCACCTCTTATCGTGCAAAAAGCTTTTGGCGTGTAAAGGAATGTACTAACTTCCGGACAGCGTGTCTGAAGTTATTTTCTCGACGTTTTAGAAATGTTGGGTGTAGAATCAAGCTAGATTACTCTTACTCTGACAATATCTCCGACGAATCCGTATGTCTGTTTCAAATAAGGATTGTAGCGCGGTCCAGTCTTGTAAACATTGCCAATACCAACTGTAGAAATTGTCCAATGAAAGTTACTCCATATGAACACTCTAACTCAAAACAAATGGCAACAACCAACAACATGCACATTGAAATTTTTGACAATTTCTGATCTCATGTATGAGGCATGTTTATGAAGTGCAAGGCTCTACGTATCGGTACCGTCACATCCGCGGTCTTAGGCAAAACACTCCGTTTATGGCTGAGTTGGTTATGTGACCATTCTAGTAAATAAAGTGATCCTTCCCAATAATGAGCGAAAGGCTGGTCAGAGTGCTATGACTGCACGGAGCATAAAGAGTGTGGCTGATATGGGAGCACAGCGCAATCAAGTATGCACACTCGCCCCATATCGGCTTCCAATGACGTTCTGACAGGACTTTTATCTCAAAAATTCCAGAATATTTCCAAGCGTTTCGAATCAATCTTGCGATGCACTTGAAGAAAAGATTCACCAAAACTTTGAGATTTTCCGTAGTTCCATATCTTTTTTTAAGACGCTAGCGCACCAGAGTGCCGCCATTAGAAGAGGCGGAGCTAAGCACATACCGAAAAATTTAAAAGAAAGAGCACTAGAAGAAACAGACAAAAGAGAAAAAAGTGAAATTGGGCTGCATTCACAAAAAATGTCGCAAATTTGCTGGCTATTTGTGCACTTGTGGGATCAGCAGCATCAGTCATGCTAGTGCTGTCGTGTCCTGTACATATCAAATTTGCCTTTTGAAAAGGTTTATGGGATTTTTTAGAAACAAACACAAAAAGTGTAACTGTATTTATCCATCAACCTAATAACTTAGATTTATTGATATTCAAAGTTTACGATTTAGCAAGCCCAAAAACAAAACTAGTTGAAGGCAATGTATCGACAGTTAACTGACTAGTCTTTTGCTCGTAGTTTGGATATACAAGGTTTGAAATACTTTGCAGGGTCAATCTTACAGTTCGAGTCACTAAACTAATTACTTCATTCGAGTCAGCCAATCAGGGGTGACGCTTTGCTTACAAGGAAATGGTCAGAAGTCGAAGTGGCCAAACCGAACAAGCTGTATACCATTCGATGCAGTATAAAACGCTGACTTCGAATCTGTCTTTTTTATCTGCTTCCCGCTTCTGCGGACGAAGCTACAAGAGGTTTTATTGTGAAAAAATCACACATAAATACAGCGAAATTGAGCACACTGTTGCACTTTTAGCTCAGCTTCTTTCTTCAAAAATTCGAAGTAGGCTAGCTGCATGTTTTGGCCCAGCATTAAGACTAACGTGGCTCACCACGGCTAAATTTTCAATTTCACGCGTAATTTCTTAGCAAAACATATGGTCTTTAATGGCTTGTAGCTTCGTCCACAGAAGCGGGAAGCAGATAAGAAAGACAGATTCGAAGTCAGCGTTTCATACTGCATCGAATGGTATACAGCATGTTTGGTTTGGCCACTTCGACTTCTGACCATTCCCTTGTTAGCCGAGAGCCGAGACGCTGCCTGCATTTAAGTGATTCTGTAATTGTTGAAAAACTCACTGAAATCCCAGTTGCAAATTATTTTATCAGGAATATCCTCGCAAGTGCATCTCAGAGCGCTCGACGTTACCTCAAAGACAGAGGCAAGAATCGCGATTTTCATTTCTGAAATAATGACAAAAAGCTTAGCAGAAATCAGAAATTTCGTCAGTTCACAGACCAACCGCTAGCGCACTCAATAAATCCATCCTTTTGAAATATATTTGTGTTCATTCACTCTTTTGCTGCCGATTACTAATCGATCTTTGCAAATACAACATAGGACGAAACTCTGTATTGAAGTGCAACTGCTATGTGGCTTTTGCACCGCAGCAAAAATCGCTGTTTTAGTCCAGCATGAACGTACGTAATAACACCATATCTCAGGATACTAACAGTGAACAAAAGCAATGAATGTTCTTAGCAGTAGTGGGTACAAATTAACTTAGGTCAAGGAGTCTCCGTTGCGTGCCGGTTGTAGCTTTAGCAGCCTTTGATCGCTTTTGCGTCTGTTACTATTTCTGTAATCGATTCGCCTCTGGTCAAGCCGTTCTCCTAGAGATCGTACTTGTTCGCGCTAAAGCGAAAATTTTGGGGTTCATGTGTAGTAGACGTTTTCGTTTCAAAACAAAATCTTTTTTATTCGAATTCCATTTTCACGCTACTCTACTACATTGGAGCGACTCAGCATTGCCTAAAAGAGTTTCCTTCGATGATTTTTTGATATAAAGCTATGCGCCTTTACCTAAAGTGATTAAACCTTTTTGAGGTTTTTTTATGCAGCTAATATTTATTTGGCTACTAATTTATGCGGAGGACATTCCGTTACGTAACGGAATTTGAAGTGTATTTTGTTTTGAAGCTATACTACCGAATTGAACTGAAACTTTGCGGTACTAAGGGTGGTTTTTCGATTTACCTTCCATTTTTAAGCTACTCTCCTAAGCCGATTCAACGATATCGCTGCGAGGAAAATCTCCCCAATGTTTCTCGTTCTGAGTATATTCTCTTACTATAGGATTTAAAGGAACAAAAACTTTTTAATGTATCTTTTTGTTCTGAGGTTGGTCTGCTATGTTGAGTCGTTGCAAAAAAGTTTTCCTGTACTCTCTTGATTCTGAGGTTATTCTAATGTGCTAAGTGATCGCTATCGTTGCGAAGTTGATTCGTTTCTTTTTTCGAGCTATTCTCCCATGCTATATGAAAAATATTGTTGGAACAAGATTCTGTCGATCTTTTGGTTAGATAGCATCTATACTAGCTGGATTGAACGTAACTTTGCAAAAGAGGCATTTGCTCCAGCCTTCGTCCTGAAGCTTTCGTCCTGATTGACTTTTTTGCACACTATTTTCGAAATTAACTTACAACTTAAGTTACCGACAGTTTACGACACGGTTTTTTGGCAGCCAACTTTATAATATTAGGTTGATGCTAAAATACTGAGTTCTGATCCTCCCCGGTAAAAAGCAAAATAAAAACGAAAAACATCATTCTATAGAGCAAGGCAAGCCTTACATGGTGGCATCCCAACATTCGCAAAAGTTAGCTTCATTTGAAATCTGGAAGCAAGAAATTATTTACCAAAAAATCAGAGTTCTGTCTGAAAGAATTCCTGCAAACCTTCTACATCTTCACGTATATGACCACTTCAGGATTTCATATATACATTTACCGTATTTTGCTTGAGATTTTAACTAAAATAAACCAGGGAAAAAAGGAAAATTTTACATTTATGGATTTTTCACTCTCAACTTGGTACTTTTCCAGAACTTGCAGGATGCTGAAAATTCACTATAATTGCTCCAAAGGTCTGCAGCATCGAGATACTCTTTTCGAATAACTCTAGCATAGCTTTACAAGCATGCCCATTTTCGTAATCGTGACTACATGCATAGCTGATGCGATAGGTCAATCCCAAGTGAGTAAAAGGTCTGTAAAATCTTCTTTGCGAAAATCTTTATTTGTTCATGTGCTCTAATATTTAAGATTTTTTCTAAACTTCGAATGCATTATAATTTTGCGAATTTTTGAACCCCTGTAGAGCTTACATTCTCATCGATTGGTGTATACCAAGCTTTTACCATCGGCAAGATAAGAAACGCTTATTATTCTTGCACCAATCTGATATGATTAAACCTTGCAACTGAAATAAGGATGTACTTGCCGAAAAGAGAGAAATGAAATTGGGTTTTGTGCAACTCGGCGGTGTTCGAGTATACGGTAACATATTGTGTGGCAAGTTCGATCAGATGCTGCGCTTCTATACGAAGAGCACCTTTTTGTAAAATGATTTAGACGACTCTCAAACGCACCTGCAGCACAGATGAAAGTACCTGGGCATACGTGTACTTTTGTTGAATAGAAATGAACATGCCGTGGTTCAGCATTTTTCTATACCAGTGCGTCACCTCTGCTTCGCAGAGGCTCGCACTGGTTTTCCTATCCGTATGTCTCATTCATTCTCACATAACTGACATTGAAACTTACCGCGCAATGCCTGTTTTCACGAATAAATCGTAAACACCTATTCATTCCGAAAGCTTTTTTGTGTGTGATCGGCATTCTGTGTGTATGAAACTTTGGAAGATGGAGAACAAATACAGATTTAGAACACTTTTAAATTTTTTCAAGGCTTGTTAGTCGCCAAAAAAGATAATATTCATCCTGACCTACATTCCTGTGCAAAAATTTCCTAAAATGATCATGTAAAACAGTGGCAAACCCGCCATTCACACAACCAATTTGTTTTGGCGCCGTTTTCGTAGAGTGATAGACTTTTGGTCACTTTTTTGGGACTAAACTTCAAGGCTTGCACATTAACTCACCAAACATGACAACTCTGGAATAAATGTGATACGGAGCCAATTTTGCGCGCCAGAAGTTGAGTGGATCCATTTGGGGTGCACATTTTGAGAGATCTACTCAATGAATCCGCTCGTGCTTTTGCATGGTGAATCTAGGTGTTGGCAGAGTGTGTTGTGCAAAAAATTGCGACTTTATACCTTGTCTGCGACTCGTTCTGTAAATTTCGTTACAGACAGACAGACACACACACAAAAACACGTAAACATCCTTAGCCCGTTATTATAAGTCATGATGGTTCTTACAAGTTTTCACTCTGATACTTATCATCTCATCTTATCATCGTTTGATAAGGTCAATCATGCAAAATTATTGCTTAAGCTTGAAAATTACGGTATCCGTGGAACAATTGCTATCCTGGTTTGCATCTTACCTACAGGATAGAAGCATGACCGTTCGTGTTGGGAGCAGTTATTCTAGACGATTTTCTTGCAGCAGTGGTGTATCCCAGGGTGGCATACCTTCACCTCTCCTATATCTAACGTATACTGCTGACTTACCATCACTTTTGAGAACCCATCCCAACATAAAAGTCCAGGTTTTTGCCGATGACATTAAGATCTATTTTTGCTATAGAAAAGAAGGACAAAATGAGGCCTTCGAAGCGATTGATTCCTCAATTCAAAAATGATTCTTTGGTCTAGAGAATGGAACCTCCCGGTGAATACTCTCAAATCGAAAGTGATACATCTTGACAAATCTTCAAACCCTGAGTGCCATGTCCTCTCTTCTCTGAACCTGGGCATTTTGATGTAGTAATTTTGTGTGTTAGTATGCCGGACCCAGGTTTATACGGTGGTATCTTTATTCCATCTTACGTTTCGACACAGTCGTCGTCTTCGGAGGTGTAGATTGCAGTTTGAATCTGGGAGACAACACCGCCAAACGCCATCACGAAACATCAGCGAGTTTAGACCTCGCCTCGCGCGCAACGTACTGAGATACACGACGGTGTAGAAACTGACCTCTGAGCCACCGCGGTGTTTGTGAGTAAGTTAGTAGCCGCACAAAGGACACGGACGACACTGAGAGCTGCTCAGTGGATCGATCTTTATATATGCGCAGGCTGTAGCTCATATATCGAGAGATACGGCAAAAGTTCGGTCGCTATCGATAAGCATTCAGTTTTGTTATTCATACTTGGATTCCTAACGGAAATTCATGCCGCTTCCATACTTTTTCGTCCTCGTATGATAGAATTGTGCTTTTACATCAAATTCACCGCCGTTATGTGCTTCTATCTTATGTTTTCTCAACGGTGACATTGCATACTCTCGCCTTTTATTCATTAAATGCTCCTTTAATCTCACGTCCAACAATCTACCCGCCTCTCCAATATATAAAGCGCCACAACTCAACTGCAACTGGTAAACCACCCCTATTTTCGCGCAATCGCCTATTTTCCCGTATGGGCAAACGACGCAGTTTTCGGAAAGACACTCAACATTATACAGTCTATTTCTCACTAACTGTTTCTTTATATTGCCATTCGGAATGTTTACCACTATGACTTCATCTTGTAGTTGTGCTCGTACCACACATCGTTTGATTGCTGAGCTAACTACATCAGAAATGAAGGGTATGCATAGAGGTACCTTATTGTCGTTGTTATTCGAGTGACTATTATTGCTGGCAAACTTCAAGGCCTTATGAATAGCAAAAGGTTGCAGCATGTAGCCATTGTCTCGCGCAATTTGTGAGGCCAGTAATCTGGATTCAAAACGTCCTTGTGTACCCGTACATACATTCGCGGCAGTTCGGAACATGTTGCGAACAACAGCTTGTTTTACTGCTTTCGGATGCGCTTGGCGTGAAATATGATGTTTTTGGAACTTTCCTTCCTGTACCATTTTATACGAACACTGTTATCAACCAGCTGTATCTGGTATTCAGGAAGGGAAGCCACCCGTTGTTCGGAGTTTCCCGTGTAAGCTTGATATACTGTGACTGCTGGTTTAGGATTCTAAAGCATTCGTCCATTTCGGACTGTGTCGAGGTTATAACACAGCAGTCATCGATGTAACGACAGTACATCAATGGTAAGCGTGCCAATACTGGTCCCTCAATTTTGCTCATAAAGCAAATGGCTAGGACTGGGGCTAACCGTTGACCCATCGCCAGTCCACGAATGTGGGAGTAGTAGTTCCCAGACCATTTGAAGATATTACATTTCAAGCATTCCTTGATGAGAACCAGTATGCACGCTCTGCTCAAACCGAAGGTGACCATGTTATTATAGTGAGAATCCAACATCTCAGACAGTGCTTGCAGTGCGGCATCATTCTGAATATTGGTGTATAGTGAAGTGACATCGAAGGACTCGATAACACTGTTTTCACCTATATTCACGTCTCGCAACTGTTTTACAAACTGTTGAGTGTTGGTCAAATGCGCAGGAACCTTCGGAAGCAGTTGGCTTACGATCTTATTGAGAAACCAAGCTATTCTATCTTTAGGATCACCAACACAGTTATAATCGGTCGTATTTTAAAAGTTGTTGCAGACATGGAACTAAGCTCGCTTGTTGTTACTTTACGGGTCTTCACGAGATGGTAGAACACTGGGCAAATTGGGTTATCCAGTTTTAGCTTAGCCTGCTGTGTTATAACCTCGACACAGTCCGAAATGGACGAATGCTTTAGAATCCTAAACCAGCAGTCACAGTATATCAAGCTTACACGGAAAACTCCGAACAACGGGTGGCTTCCCTTCCTGAATACCAGATACAGCTGGTTGATAACAGTGTTCGTATAAAATGGTACAGGAAGGAAAGTTCCAAAAACATCATACTTTACGCCAACTCAGCGCATCCGAAAGCAGTAAAACAAGCTGTTGTTCGCAACATGTTCCGAACTGCCGCGAATGTATGTACGGGTACACAAGAGCGTTTTGAATCCAGATTACTGGCTTTACAAATTGCGCGAGACAATGGCTACATGCTGCAACCTTTTGCTATTCATAAGGCCTTAAAGTTTGCCAGCAATAATAGTCACTCGAATAACAACGACAATAAGGTACCTCTATGCATACCCTTCATTTCTGATGTAGTTAGCTCAGCAATCAAACGATGTGTGGTACGAGCACAACTACAAGATGAAGTCATAGTGGTAAACATTCCGAATGACAATATAAAGAAACAGTTAGTGAGGAATAGACTGTATAATGTTGAGTGTCTTTCCGAAAACTGCGTCGTTTGCCCATACGGGAAAATAGGCGATTGCGCGAAAATAGAGGTGGTTTACCAGTCGCAGCTGAGTTGTGGCGCTTTATATATTGGAGAGACGGGTAGATTGTTGAAGGTGAGATTAAAGGAGCATTTAATGAATAAAAGGCGAGAGTATGCAATGTCGCCGTTGAGAAAACATAAGATAGAAGCACATAACGGCGGTGAATTTGATGTAAAAGCACAATTCTATCATACGAGGACGAAAAAGTATGGAAGCGGCATGAATTTCCGTTAGGAATCCAAGTATGAATAACAAAACTGAATGCTTATCGATAGCGACCGAACTTTTGCCGTATCTGTCGATATATGAGCTACAGCCTGCGCATATATAAAGATCGATCCACTGAGCAGCTCTCAGTGTCGTCCGTGTCCTTTGTGCGGCTACTAACTTCCTCACAAACACCGCGGTAGCTCAGAGGTCAGTTTCTACACCGTCGTGCATCTCAGTACGTTGCGCGCGAGGCGAGGTCTAGACTCGCTGATGTTTCGTGATGGCGTTTGGCGGTGTTGTCTCCCAGATTCAAACTGCAATCTACACCTCCGAAGACGACGACTGTGTCGAAACGTAAGATGGAATAAAGATACCACCGTATATACCTGGGTCCGGCATACTAACAAACAAAATTTCTTCAAACCATATTTACGTATGTGATGGTGTAGAGCTAGAGCAATGCTATTACAAAGGAGGGCGTTTTTGTTGACGATAAGCTCAAATTTTCTTCTCATTGTGATTTTGTTGCTAGGAAAGCCTTGTCTGTTCTCTTTGTGGTTTTCAGAAGCATTCACAGTAATGATGCCATGCTTTTCGTTAAACTCTAGAAAACTTATGTTCTTCCTCTTTTGTAGTTTTTGTAGTACGCCTCCCCGGTTTGGAGCCCTTTTTTGAAAAAGAATGTCGAAAAACTAGAGAAAGTACAAAAAGTGTTTACCAGAGTTGTTTTCTATAGATGCTATCCCGATCTCAACTATTCTCAGTCTTTGCCATGCTACAGTTCGAGACTAATCTCCCTAGGATGCAAAGTCTGAAATATAGAAAGGATCCAACGACCTCACCTTTTGTTTTCGTATCATACGACTGGAGACTAGATTAAGGACCAGCAAATACTGGACTTTTAGGCCTTGTGGTTATCGAACAGGAGGCTTCTGCTAAGGATATCACAAATTAAAAAGCAAGATCCCTTCCATCGCGTTCAACTCCTTTGTGTGTCGAACAGCAAGGTGGTTGAGCCTTTTGCCAAGGGAAGTTACTTCTTGCACTATTTCTGCGGAATTCCGCAAAAAACTAAAAGCAATGAACGTTCTAGAAGTTCTGAATATCACAGGATGTGTGAAGAATAGTACACATGTGGCTTTTTTCGTTTTTATTTTTGGCTTTTCTGGCTTTCGAAAGAAATTTCTACTGATTTTCGGTGTTTTTCCCCTCAAAAACAAGGTTGCCAATTCTACCCATTCTGTAAAAATCTGTTCTATTTTTAATTTTTTCTTGCAAAATCCCAACATATGTTTTTTGTGCTGTACACTCTCATTCGTGTGTGTTTGTTATACATTTGCCATTGCAATCGCGAACAGGGCTCGATGCCCTGCCTGGCCGTCCTGTACGGCTCCTCACGCGCAAATACCTGATCGATTGTGTCAACGCCATATGCCTTGTTTGTAGATTAAGCCATATGTCGAGTTCATCTCAGGAGAAACTTTGAAATTGTGATTACAGCTATTTTAGCTCCTTCTCCATTTTGCACGCCTCAAAGAGTTATCCTGCTTGGAAAGCCGTTCGAGGAGATCAACGACCAGTGAGCCCTCTGCCTAGAGATCCCCCCTTCCTGTTAGCCCAGGGTCCCTAACGGATTCGTCCGTCCCGGGTTAAGTTGGTCAGCCAAGCCCTGGTATCTTCTGCCTTCCTATACTGCGTCCGGGCAAGAGAAAAGGAACTCTGTAGAGGCATCCTTACTTCTTGAAGAAGGAGAACGACTTGGTCCTTCCAGCAAGGAAGCTATGATCTTCGACATGCTAAGATTTTTTTGTATGATGTTTGGATAATTTTTTGCAACTTTTAGGATATTTTGGATGTTTTCGTTTGATTTTTTGGCGCACTTTTTGTGTATAACAATAAACAATAAACAATCTCTGTTAGAGTAAAAATTTGCCTGAATTTCTACTAATCAACAAAAATCTCTTGAGTGTATTCTACGATAGTAAGCAAGTAATTACTATTGTTTTGAACGATCAATTTTCAAGTAAAAAGGACTGTGCGTTGTTGAGTTAAGAAATGTAGCAATCTTTCTACTTTTCCAGCAACTTAGGGCATACGCACAGGCTAAGCTCAAGATCACCCCTCCAGTCTTATTATCTTCCACTTGTTTATCGTCGTTGTGATAGGGCTCTGAGCAGAGGTGCGATGGGGAAAGCCGGGCCCACCAAAAGTGAAGGTGGTCCTAGCTACCACTGGCCGGATTCATACAATTACTCAAGAAATTCAAAACTATGTTTCTAGAAACAAACCTGATTGATACAGGATAAAGTTAGGCCGGAGAATAGCAAAATGGAGCGAATAGCAACTTTACAGAAATGGGACTGGATAAGGTGAGGATTACTATCGCGTTCGGATCCGAATGCTGTGACTTTCGAAAATAAAGCGTTCCGCAGGAGACTCGTCCGCAATGACCGCAGCGCAGGCGCCGGCGTCCTACCTGCGAAGTTACTATAGTAGACGTTGGGTTCAGAAGGGCCGTCCCCCATTAGTAGCGCTTAGAAACGAACGTTTTGTTTTAAGTCAAGGCAAACCACAAAGGAGAGCGGCTGTGGTGAGCCCTTCCGCCGTTCTTAAGTCTCAGTGGCTCTCCAGCCTATTTTGGGCCACGGATTGGCTCAACCGTTCTCACCCTCGCTTGATTCTGCCGATGCACCACGTTCGTACTGCATTAAAGTGCGATGGGCTCAGGTAATTCTCAGCACTTGAGACAGCTCACACATTTAATCAAACACGAAAGAAATATCACCTACACAACTCAATTACACCCTTACATTCCGTAGTCATTGAACATGGTTGCCCTACCTGTCCTCTCGTCCTGAGAAAGTCCTGTCCTTTCCTATTATTTCAAGTGGGTACGTTCGGCCGACGTGGTGGAGATATAGTCAGAACTATAAGGCTTCGAATACCAAACCACAACCAAAAGTATTGCCACGCGGGACTTCGACACACGAGCACACCTCAAACTTGGGTAATTAAACTTTATCAAAGAAACAAATAACAACAACAAACACGGATAGAACAAATAACAAAATATACTACTAAATTATGAACTACAAATAAAAATGATATGGCTGGAAGAAGGCACAAATAAATGATTCAAACTAATGTTGAAGTAAGAGGCGAAAACTGTATGGGGACTGACTCTGATTGTGCACTGCCAGCTACTTATATGCATGAAAACCTGGTCGTCTAGGCACAGCTGTGCGTAAATTCACAGATACACCAAAGAAATGGTAGAAATCACATCTGATGCTAACATCTGCACATTCTTACACTAACAAAAACAGTGTGAGCTACTAAATTCATCTTTGCTGTACAAGGCAAAGAATTACTCAGCCACACAAACAGATGCAAATAAATTTTCGCAGTTTGGGACAGAGAAGAATAATACGAACTGCGAAGTTCGTATAACATTGGCCTACAACTATTTAATCGATACATCGATTGATAAGTTCACTTGTTTTTACTCTAGATTGGCGCTCCGATGCTCATTTCGGCAAATGATCCGGATGAATCTGTCAATCATACCTTATCCATCTATGATGAGGAGCTTACACCATTCACAATTGATAAATATACCGGGCAGATCAGCTTGAGACAGAAACTCGATCGAGAAAAGGTAAATATAGTTAAAGAATCGATTAATTGATTTTGGCAATTATGCCCTTGTAGGAGTCTTCCTATCGCCTTCGTGTTCGAGTGAGCGATGGTACATGGGCAGTACAGACAGGAGCAGCAATCACTGTTCTGGACGTCAATGACAATGCTCCTGTTTTCGAAAAAGATCGATATGTATTCATTGTGAATAGATTGCAGGTGAGCAGAAAAATCAATAGGATGAACTGCGATAGCACCGTGACATATGGACCAATCACAACATCAACGCTACAGTAATCCTCCGAACCAACCACTACCGCGTTCTAGGTCAATCAATCGATCGGCAGAATTCAAACCACTGATGCAGACGAGGGGATGAATGGAGTTGTTCACTATCGTTTCGATAAAGATCGATGCTTATCGATTGATGTGATCAGCGGCGATCTGCGATTGCTCTGCGTACCTCATAGAGGTGTGATTACGGTAAGTCTGACTCTGGAGCGCTGTCAATTGCCAACATAACAAATTTCTAAATAGCTCTTTTGAGTCGGAAAAAGCAACAGTCTCACAAAGAAAAGTCTTAGCGGCTTTTTGAGAAGTTAATTTTCTTTTTTAGCTAACCAAATGGTGACCACATATTCCATAATTTTAGAAATTTTTATTTTCTCATGAATTTTTATGTATTTTTTGCCAATCAGAAACTTTCTTAAAAGGTTACGTAATCCCTCAAAAATTTTACTGAGTTGTGACAATTGTAGATTACCGTTACCGCTCAAGATAATGGCATGCAGGCGATGACATCAACCACCGTGGTTACGGTAGTCTTCCCAACAGGAAGCAAGACCGAGTGTGGAATCCCAGTGAACATAGGCACCATCAATGGCACTCTTCTGACCAGATTGGCTGAGTACTGTAACGATGACGTCAACGAAAAGGTATAAGGAATTTCTACCATCAAAAAAATCAATATATCGATTTTTCAGATTGTGCATTCCACAAGGCAATTCCTGTCTGAAACTTCTTATGTGGGAATTGACCCAGAGGGCAGTGGCGTACCGAGGGGGGGGGCGGGGGGGGGGGGGCGCGCACCCCCCTCCCCCCCCCCCCCCCGAGAATTCGCGAAATTTTTGAAAGTTACTTATATGGCTTATAAAAAGGTGCAAGTGACTTATTTATTTTTGTAAATAATTAAAATAATTTTTAAAAATTTTTAAAAATTCAAATTAGCTTTGTAAAAAAAATTTTTTCGGGGGCGTGGCTGACGCCACGCACCTTCTTTAGAAAAAAATTTTTGTCGCGCCCCCCCCCCCCCCGAGCCGAAATCCTGGGTACGCCACTGCCAGAGGGCTACTTTGTAGCCACTCGGGATTACCTCATTGACAGCAAAGATACTGCAACGTACCTCATTAGCGAATTGGCAGATGGTACAGCCATGATCACAAAGTTAAAGTTGAGAATGAACCAAGGCAATAGTCACTCGCCACATTTTGATGAGAAAATGTAAGCTATAAAATCGGTATATCGATTTCTCTGCCTTACCCCTTTTTTATTGCAGAGTACGCTTTGCTGTGTCGGAAGATCTAGACGATGGCGATGTCATAGGAATTGTTACCGCTAATGACTCTGATGTGGGTCTGGCAGGGAAAATTCACTACCGTATCCAGTCTGAAAGCGAAGTGCCTTTACGAACACTTCCAAATGGAACACTTGTCGTGGTTGGCGCTTTGGATTACGAAGCGAAAAAGCGCTATGTGTTCAATGTTACGGCTACGGATCGAGGTCAACCACTGAGAAACGGTAGGTTGAATGGAGCAGATTTTAGCTTTGGAGCACAATTTTATGTGAAGACTTTGTCGTTTCTTTCCAGCCAGCGCTCAAGTTGTCGTTGATTTATTGGATCTCAATGACAGTCCACCCATGATTGAAGACAAGGAGCTTACTTATGCGGTTAGCTTTGTCTCACAACATCGATCAATGATCGATGATCCTGATTTTCGATTTTCAGATTACTTCCCCCAATGATATCATTTGCCCTACGATTTCCGACATCGACACTCCTCTCGCTGATCTCGACTTCTTTACCGACACCCCCAACGTCACCATTTCAGCTCAGCATGATTGCATCAAAATCAATGATACCGTACCCCCAGCCATCAGCTGGACAGTATCCGATGATAATCAATCAATAACCGTAAAATTGAATTTGCTGGATATGATGCCAAAGCAACCGGAAATTTCGGAGACGAATGTGATCATTAGCGAAAATACTGTGGACGGCACTATAGTGGCATCTTATGAGAATGTGGTCTTCTCTGAGCAAAAAGATCAGTTGTCGGTGGATTCGAAGGACGTGAAGGTGCAAGGTGGACATGGTCTACGAGGAGATGTGCTGAAAATCTATGCAAAATCAAGATTTGGAGGACGAGGTTTGCGAAGGTAAGTATAACTTTCGTTCGTTGTTTTTCCATTATTCAACGGTGTCTGTAAGCGGAGCATAAAGGAAGGAAAGAAGTCAAAAAGAAAGGAAGACAATAAGAGGAGTAGAAATATTTCAACTACATTTTCTCGACATTAGAAAAACTGACTGGAACATTTAATTCAATCCAGTTGCTGTCTGAGATTCTCTTCTCATCCTCCAATCCTTTTTTATTCAAACTGCTACCGAACAAAACTGAAAATATTGCAATAAAATGGCAAAAAAGTAAAAAAGTAAAGAGAGAAATAGACATAAAAAGATAGAAACATTTCAAAGAATATTCTCTTCGGAAAAACTGAAGTTGTTTTTGTCAATTCCCTTTTAAGTTTACTGAGGAACTTTTTGCAACGTTTGTTTACAGCTCTAATCTGACACTGATGGCCAGCCGGGATGCTCCATCACCACTTTTCGAGAAGACATATTATGCCTTAAATGTTAGCAAAATGATGCCTGTGGATACAGTAATACATGACTTCCGATTGCATTTGCCGGACAACTGCCACATGGAAATTGTTACTGGTAATGAAGCTGAGGTAAGCTCACAAAAAATTATGAATTAAAATTTTATGTTCTTGAGTATAAATTGTATTAATAAAAATTGTATTATTTGTATTAATGTATCAATATGTATTTATTACTCTCCATTTTAATTTCTGTTTCAGGCTTTTTGTATATCAAGGGGCTTAGCGCTTACACTATGCGGAAATGTGAGAAGAAAGCATTACAGTATCCTTGTAGAGGTAAACACTTGCTTGCAAATGAACTTTAATAAGTTATTTTCATTTTCTTTAAACAGATTATCTGCGCGAACAGAACGACATCACGCGCCGCAGTGTCGATTACCGTAATCCCAGCACCTGCCCAGCACGCCCCATTGATAGGATTTGTGCGCGAGAGCGCGCCCTCTGCCGTAATTGGTCAACTAGATGAGAAGAATCACAAATCGAGGAAGTCGATTTACCATATTGGAGATATGCATCTAAGAGAGGTATGCATCTTTTCTACTAACAATAAGATAGAAGACTTTCTTATATTTATGATTTTCAGATATTTGCACTATCACCCGACGGTATGCTGTCTACATTGAAACCATTGAATAGGTCGATTCGCAGCGTCTACCGTATACCCATCGTTGTTCAACCATCGGCAGCCAGACCACTGACAAAGACATTTGTGGTAAGTTTTATTTCAAAAAATATTGGTGGCTGCAAGAGGGAATGGCACTGAGAAAAATCGACTCCACCAGATACATTGCGATTCCAGGTATTCGTCGACGAAGATGCAGAGACTGCGACAACTCGTCCACAGATCAATGCTGCTGCCTTGCTGGCAGATCCTGTGACTGAATTTGATCTTGGGGATCTAGACGTTGGATCTTCGCCTAAATGTCAAGCAATCAATAACGATCGATATGAGGTGAATCTGCTGTTTACTCGGTAGTACTTATGCCTGATGTAGTTCATAATTTAACTACTTTTCTCATTTTTGACAGTGTAACCCGTAGCAATTTCTTCTGCTATATCTCTCGATATACCTGACTTTTTGTTACTGTAGGATGCCTCGAAAATTCTAATCCTAATATGCAAGAGAACAAAATTCTGTACAAATAAAAGTAGACTTTGATGTCATGAAATATCACATTAAAACCAATCAATAAACAGTGTATAGAATATGATAAGTAATGTAATATTTTTGAAAAATTGAATTTATCACGACAACAAGGAAAGCCTGCTCAGTCGAAATCAATTTTCTCGACATATTCATTGGTTATTTGCAGGTATCAGAAGACTGTCGCATAACTATCGAACAATCAATCGATAATCACGAAACGATCAAAGCAGCAATCAATAATCGAACCGTGGAAGTTGCACTGAAGACCTTACGCATTCAGCACGAATTTGCTCCAACCATGCTACAGCTCGTCGTTTACGCCCTTCCCAGTGGAATAGCTCAGATGCTGACTGAGTTACAGCGGACCTACAGTGATTTGGTATGACCACGCCCATTTATACGAGTTGTCAAGTTAGAATTTGTTTTCCAGACATTCTATCCCTTGGCTGTTGAGATGTCAGCGTATCGCAACACTCTCTCGCTCGCCATAGTTGATCGCAATCAAAAAGTGATCTCAGCCAACGATTCGCGCGACATCGTCGCGAGATTCTTCAAGATGGACGAGTTTGCCCACGCACTGCTCGAGTCCATGGAAACGAATCTTTGTGCTAATGTCTCCTGTGCCAATAATGGGACTTGTCATCAAAAGGTGGTCTGGAACAAGAAGAGCTCAACATTTACGGGACCGGAGTCACTGTGGAGCATACCGGAGGGCGTGGGAGTAGCTAAGTAAGTGTAAACTGAATTTTGGCCTTACGCCAAAAAAATTTACAAATGGTATTCAGCTGCGAGTGTCCTCCTGGATTCACTGGTGAACTTTGCGAGAGCATCAAGAAGTGTGATCGTGCTAGTTGTCCTGATGGAGAATGCACAGAGGACGGGGACTGTGTGCGGGATTGTGAGAAGACGTGCAAAAAGTACGTTTCCTTTTCCTAGAGCGGACAACTATCACATTGTCCCACTGTTCCACTCAGACTAGTTGAAATAATAGAAATACCTCCTCAAAATTAGCGATTGGAAAGGTATCCTGTCACCTAAAATAAAAAAGTGACAAATTTCAATAAACATATAAGGCTATAAATTTTCTCATATCTTAACAATGCGTTTCGAGCAAAAACTGCACAATTTATATCTTCTGCTTGCTCTTGATAAGAACTTCAATATCTCTGAAAAAAATTCATTGGTTAGATATTGATCAAATTTGGTAATAACAATTACTTATAACCCTACTTCAAACGCTATATTTTTGAAACCTCAAAAAGTGATTTTTATAGTGGTTGATCCTCAGTCAAATATATATATATATATGTAAATTATCAAAAATCCCTTTTGTTTTAGCGGCATCTGCACGAATGGCGTTTGCGATTGCTTGCTAGGTTTTGCTGGAGCTGACTGTTCTCTCAAAACATTCGGTACCGCGACTGAGCAAAAGCGAAAGAAAACTGTGAAAATGCTGAAAAAGCTACCAACTGCAAAAGCACCTTGTTCCGAACTACAATGTGGAAAAGGAGAGTGTCTGGTACAAAGCGGCCGTTCGAACACTTGCCGTTGTCCAGGAGGATTCGTAGCGAAAGACTGCTCATCTGGTAAGAGACGACCGTTCGAATTTGTACGAGTTCCCTTTCGCTAAAAAAAATTGCTTTCAGATCCTCATGTGCTATCATTGTTAGGCTCGGTGATCTTTACACCAACAACAGAATTGAGAACAGAGTTGGAACTGAATCACTCACCACTGGTCACTAATGAGTTCTGCAACGGTAGTCAATCGATATCAATCGATTTCCGAACGAAAAATTCACATGGTGTTATTGTCGCGCTGTCCTATGAACGAGAATTTGCTGTGATTGAGGTAGGTATCACATTTATGACAGCTGGAACATATTTCGACAACAAAAACCAAGTAAAGATTTCATGTGGATTCTTCCACATGAAGACTAGCTCCGGATTCATTTTCTGCCAATGCTAAAACAACCAGTAAGGGGCGTGGCTTGCCAAAAATTTTTATTTGAGGTTGCCATCAGTTATCTTCTTGCTATATATTACCTGTTTCAGGTCCACTCATCCAAAGTACGATATCGCATGTTCGATAGCTATAGAACACCTATAGAAATTACGCTCAATAGCCAAACGGTGGACGATGGCAATTGGCGCCAAGTCGCACTTGAGCTGAGCGAAGATCGAAAAACCGTAAAATTTTTCTCTTTCTGAGAGTTTCGGCGACCGAATCTTAAACAGCTTATTTCACGCACAATTGCAGATCACCTTCAAAGTCGGCGGTATTGGCAAAGAAGCTGTATCACGGATGGTTTTACCAACATCATATCTGTCGATCTGAAGCGTGTCCAGCTTGGGATAAATGGACTGCGAGGGTAAAGCATGGGAGACTCGTCCGCTCACACTAAGTTGTACGAGTTATCTCCTTTTAGACAGTTTGCCGGTTGCTTACGTCGATTTGCAGTCAACGGATATCTACAGACATTGAGCATGGAGGAGTCTGCGTCAAATGAGGTAGTACTTGCAGACCAGAATATCATGACAACTCGTCCAAAATTCTTTTTACAGTACTTTACTCGGACTGTAACTGGCGATGTCAGCTCACAGTGCGACATAGGCTCCGCCCATTTGGCCGTGTTCCAAACTCCTGGAGTCCTAGCATCCATTATTTGCGTAGGCATTCTTGCCATTGCAGTCCTTGCAGTTTTTGCATTAGCGAGGTTTGTAAGAAGGCATCAAGACAAGAAAGAGAGCAGTTGGCAAAGGACACGGGTAATTTTTCAGTTTTATGTGCCACATTTTGCAGAAGAGGCGGAGCCTATCTTTCAGGAGATTGACGCCTACGCAATGCGGAAACCGCGAATCATCTCAACAGAAAATGGGCACGTCAATCATGCAATGAATTCATCAGTCGATTCGCTCTACGCCACGGCTGACGGATATGAAACGCCAATTGGTCATGTGAGTACAGCCCCGCCGCTCTGTGACAGTTGTCCAATTTCAGGAAAACATGTTTACAGGCATATCGTGAGCACAAGCCTCATTTGAATACGAAGCGGATAGTGGGAGATGTCGTACTAGGTGTTAGAAAGTGAGTTTAGAGTTCCTAATTAATAGGGCAAAAAATCGATATATCGATTTTCTTCCAGCAACTCATCAAGTGATATTGATCGCCATAGCTTCCCATCGAAACACAGTTATGAGGTAATTGCTCAAGATATCTAGGCTTGAATTACAGTAATCAACTGAATACCCTTGCAGGAGCCAGAACCACCTCCAGTACCACAAAGAATGTATAGAAATATGACATATTTCTAAAGTTACCGAGATCTTTTGCAGATTTTACTGGTATCTATAAAACAAGCAGATATATACCTTATAGCTTTATACTTGCCACTACAAACACTTCCATTATGGGTAAAACTTTATCGTTGTTTATTTATTTATTTTTCTTCACTGTATGTATGTATTGATGATTTCGAAGCTATGCAGTGTCTCATTTTCTAGTCTGTTCGAACTGTTTTGATGAAATAAATTATATTGTCTTGTTCCATAAGATCCTTGTTTGTAAATCTTAGGGGTTTTCATTAGAAAGTTAACTAAAAGTTTTCTGTGTCGTACAGATTTGATATGATATACAGTGCTGGACATAATTATAGAGACACTCTAGAAATCGTCGTAATTTTCGTTCTTGTCAGTGAATCTGTTTGAAACTTTGCTGTATGGTGCGCATGTAAGCCTACCATAACTCCTCAGAACGGCTTCCAGTCCCGTTGATTTCAAACGGAGAAAAATGGAAAAATTCGAAAAAGCCTGTTTTGCAAGCTGGACATAATTATAAAGACAACTGGCCTTTTTGAACATTATCGCATTCCTTGACTCCCAAATTTTTTTGTAGAGTTACATCCCAGAATATGAAACTTTTGCAGCACCTAGGACCTGTCATGCTATTCAAGGAAAGATAATTCTTGCATTTTTCGTTTCCAAAGGCATCAGAAGTCAAACTGCTTCATTAAACAACTGGTTTGAAGAATTTTCAAGCCCTTGTTCATTTCAAATGATAATCATGGAGTCTACTGATCCTTCTGAATAGATGAGGTGAAGAACGCTTTCGTAAACTCTGCGTAATCGCTGATTTTGACGGACAGACTCCAACCTCACCATAGGGTTGTCGCGCTTTTGCACCGCAAAACTCACTTTCCAATGTTCGTGAAGTGATGGACTCGATTTATTAAATTGTCTACATGGAGATGCATATTTTGCAACAACTTTTAGATTTTTTCTAGTGCTGCAGTTGCCATTTAGATCTGAAATACTTTCAACGAAAATTCTATGCGAGCAGTAGATTCAAGATAATCAAAAATCTCACTATTTTGTTCTCTGTTTCATGTCGCATTTTGCGCGGTAGCTGAGATTAGCAAGATTTTGAAGTTTCAGGCGGTCTCCTGTTCGATTTCTTGATTTGAGTTGGATATGATTGTGCAGGGTGCTCAACTCAACTCTCAACGGATGACAACTGCGGCTGAACCAGAATGTGCAACCCCGAAATTTCTTCCTGACTAGGCCACATGTTTATTGTTGTGCGTGTATTGTTGCGGCTACATTGCAGCGTTTTCTGTAACTTGAAAATCGAGTTTTGTGGTGCAAAAGCGCGACAACCCTATGGTGAGGTTGGAGTCTGTCCGTCAAAATCAGCGATTACGCAGAGTTTACGAAAGCGCTCTTCACCTCATCTAACCAGAAGGATCAGTAGACTCCATGATTGCCATTTGAAATGAACAAGGGCTTGAAAATTCTTCAAACCAGTTGTTTAATGAAGCAGTTTGACTTTTGATGCCTTTAGAAACGAAAAATGCAAGAATCATCTTTCCTTGAATAGCATGACAGGTCCTAGGTGCTGCAAAAGTTTCATATTCTGGGATGTAACTCTACAAAAAAATTTGGGAGTCAAGGAATGCGATAACGTTTAAAAAGGCCAGGAATGCACAATTCATGCACATTCTTTATAATTATGTCCAGCTTGCAAAACAGGCTTTTTCGAATTTTTCCATTTTTCTCCGTTTGAAATCAACAGGACTGGAAGCCGTTCTGAGGAATTATGGTAGGCTTACATGCGCACCATACAGCAAAGTTTCAGACAGATTCACTGACAAGAACGAAAATTACGACGATTTCTAGAGTGTCTCTATAATTATGTCCAGCACTGTATCTGCCATGCGTTTTGGCAACATTACCTTCAAGAGAGGCCTGATAAGTCAGTCACCTGATTCACATTTTACACGGTCCTTCTCCTTGAGGTTAGACTATTCGATTCATCTAGAATAATCAGGCTGTTTCGGGTCAACTCACCAGAATCACATCGATACTAGACGGTCTGACAATGACTTGCTCGTCCATTCCGAGCTTGAATAGTGGTGAAATCGTGGTAACTGGGAAAGAAACAGCGTTAAAGCCAGGGCCCGGCACCGATGGTTTGGGGTCAAACTGGACTTCGTTTTTGGAGTTAGAAGCAACGGGGACATCGTTTTTATGAGGTCCTGGAGGAAGCGCCAAAAAAAAAACACGACGAACATGTCAGGTTTCACGAGTTGAACGTGTTCTTTCGCAAGCGCGCGAATTTCGAGCAAGACTCAAACAAACATATGGCTTGTGTACAGCGCACAAACAATCACATGGCTCCGTATTTTGGCTATGAGTATACAATATTACTCCAAACTATGTTATGTAAAAAGTTCCCAGAACTTATGTGTCCTAATATCCGTTCTCGAATTTGTGGGTTTCCAGACTACCAAACCAACTGGGTTGGTTCGGAGCATAAATATCGGAGAGTTCACATAAGTTTTGGACCTTTTTGATTTAAACGATTAGAACGGTCAAAAATCTATCATATAGTGAAGAGAGCGGATCAAACCGTTGCCTCTCCCCTTTTTTGAGACAAAAGTAGTATAATTTTACGCGTTTATAGATATCGCGCTCCAATCACTTGCGGTGTCCTTTGAAATATGTGGCGAAAAATGCATCGCAGGATTGTTGAGGCTACAGATTTGGTTGGCCTAGGAGATTCTTGACATTCCCAGCATCAATTGGTACTGTACCCAATGGCAGAGCCTTTAATCGACTCGAAATGTTTTCTTTTTGCTTTTTTGTTATATTAGGTTGGTGCAAAAATAATGAGCGTTTTTATTTGCTTGCTTTGACAAAGCAACCAGTCTCAACCCAACAAAGGTAAGGGGTACTGTTCGATAGAACAAAGCAAGCTCTACAAGATGACACTCATGTCTTTGCGCCATGCCCGATCCACGGAGAGTTCGAACTCAAAATCTAAAGATTTCCAAATGTCCAAAAAATCGAAAAAAATCAGATCTTCGTCCAAATAATTTGGACCTCCCACTCTCTCACATCAATACTATCGATACCTGATATCCATATGTGCGATTGCCGTATTTTTTTCTTGATTAGAAACTGAGAAAACGAAAACTTCCCTGATTTTCTCAAAGCAATGCTGAGCCGTTTTTGCATATGTAGTTCTATACTACAAGCCTAGGTAAGCATAACTGTAGATTTTCAGCCCATTCCAAGCGATAGTTTTCGAAAAATAACGTATTCGGATTTTTTCGTTTCAGTTTCAGTGCTAAAATCGACATTTCTCGAAAAGCACCGCTCGAAATAGGCTGAAAACCTACAGTTACGCTCACCTAGGCTTGCAGTATAGAACTTCATGTGCAAAGACGGCTCAGCATTGCTTTGAGAAAATCAGGGAAATTTTCGTTTTCTCAGTTTCTAGTCAAGGAAAAAATACGGCAATCGCACATATGGATATCAGATATCGATAGTATTAATGTGAGCGAGTGCGAGGTCCGTAGAAATTATTTGGACGAAGATCTGATTTTTTTCGATTTTTTGGGCATTTGGAAATCTTTAGATTTTGAGTTCGAACTCTCCGTGGATCGGGCATGGCGCAAAGACATGAGTGTCATCTTGTAGAGCTTGCTTTGTTCTATCGAACAGTACCCCTTACCCTTTGTTGGGTTGAGACTGGTTGCTTTGTCAAAGCAAGCAAATAAAAACGCTCATTATTTTTGCACCAACCTAATATTACATACCTCAAAATGCGCTTTTTTCGCTTTTTTGTTGCTATTTTGGTTGAATAAGGGTTCCCCTACTGATTTTTACGTCGAGAGGGACTTCGTAAATTTTCGTGAAGTCATGGGGGACTTCGTTTCCTAGAAAGCTCCAAACCAACGCGTGCCGGGTCCTGGTTAAAGCTTCAAAACGAGCCATCTTACGTAAAAACTATAAACAGCAAACATCATTTGGTGGCGAGAATGAGTGGCAGAGACTCTAAAGCTGGCATCCAGAATAGCGATCTCAAATGGATAGTTTCTGCAAGAGTCAGAGCACATCTTAAACTTCTCTTTAGCTCTTCGATAGGCATATTCCAATCGTCTATGGCTTGTATTATCTAGCGTATTTCCAAGCGTTGTTTCACGTTGCGTGGGTCTTCACCTTCGTCTTCGTCATCTAACAAGGGACGTCAGGTATCTTAGAAATCGCGATTCGAGACGAGACATATACATGGAATCTTCAGACGCTGATTCCAAGTATCTGCTCCTAGCTGCGGCACGTCATTCTAAAGTATATAGTAATTGGCTTTTTTCTGTGTAAAATTGCCATACTTTTCTCCATATGGTAAGGCTGCCTTTAGATGGATCTGCCTGAAGACGGTGCTGGGATACCAGAATTATATTGGATTGAGTCCTTTGTAATTGACCAGCTTTATGCAGTCAATTAGCACTTAAGTGATGATACTGTAATGCCAGTACATCAAAAAGTATGCAAATTTTGCACAGAAGAAAATCGAGAAGAAGAGAATAAATGACCTACCGCAGCTAGAAACAGCATATTTGGAGCGTTTGAAGCTGATTCCAATTATATAGGGTGTCCCAAAACTAAGCACACTTTTCAATCGTTAATATCTCTCTTCCCAATGGTCCTTTCTTTCTTGCCATCTGAGTACCATTCCGTAGACGAGGCTTCAACTTAGATCTACAGTATTGAGCGAATCACCGATCGCTCTTTATTACTATAGGATTACGGTAAGAACTACCAGCATGTGAAACCATTGTGAAATATGCCATCTGACAAAATTTTTTTCAAAAAATCTGAAAGATCGTGTATAGGGTATTTGCGCAAGCTGATTCCACATAACTTTTTACGAGTGTTTTCAGCTTTTTCGATGGTGTAATCACATTTTTGACAAATACTGGGAATGCGGTTATTACGGTTTACCTGGGATAACTTTGGAAAGAAGCATCACA